CACATGCCATGGGGCAAGTACTGAGCCTGTGTGCTGCGACAAAGACCCAGCGCAGCCAAAAGTAAAATAAATAAATAAACAACAACAACAAAAAAACATCCAGTATGTAGTCTTTTATTTATTTATTTGGCTGTGCAGCAGGATTGTGGGATCTTAGTTCCCTGACCAGGGATTGAACCTGGGCCCCCTGCAGTGGAAGCACAGAGTCCTAACCACTGGACCTCCAGGGAATTCCCCAGTATGTAGTCTTTTGAGCCTGGTTTCTTTCACTTAACAAAAGGCATTTGAGGTCCACCCAGTTGTGTGTAGCAGTGTTTGTTCCTTCTTATTGCTGAGTAGCTGTCCATTGCATGGATGTACCACGGTTTGTCCATTCACCAAGTAAGAAACATGTGGATTGTTTCTAGTTTTTTGGCAGTTACAGATAAAACCACTATAAATGTTCATGTACAAGTTTTGTGTGAACATAGGTTTTCCTTTTACTTAGGTAAATACCTAGCAGTGGGATTGTGGGGTCATGCGGCAAGCGTATATTTAGTTTTGTAGGAAACTGTAAAACCTTTCCAAAATGGCTGGCACCCATTTTGCATTCTCACTGGCAATGAATGAGAGGGTCCATTTGTTCCATATCATTTCCAACATTTACCTTTTTTTTAGTCATTCTAATAGGCTTGTATTGTAATTTTATTTAGATCAATATTGAGGATTTACATTGTGTTTATTTTTTTATTAATTAATTAATTTTTGGCTGCATTGGGTCTTTGTTGCTGCGCACGGGCTTTCTCTAGTTGAGGCGAGCGGGCGCTACTCTTTGTTGCAGTGCGGGGGCTTCTCACTGCAGTGGCTTCTCTAGAGCGGACCACGGGCTCTAGGCGCACGGGCTTCAGTAGTTGTGGCTCACGGGCTCTAGAGCGCAGGCTCAGTAGTTGTGGCGCACGGGCCTAGCTGCTCTGCGGCATGTGGGATCTTCCCGGACCAGGGCTCGAACCCGTGTCCCCTGCATTGGCAGGCGGATTCTTAACCACTGCGCCACCAGGGAAGCCTGAGGGTTTACATTTTAAAACTATGTAAATAGTATTCCTGAGTCACGTAGTGTACTGTAACTACTCTTTGTGTATAATTTTGTTTTTTCCTCTTTTTTAAAAATTTGTTTTCTCTGTACCTATAATTAATTCATCCAAAATCTCTACCAAAAATATTAATCTCCTTGCAATACACTTAGATAAATTAGGTGTTTTATCTGTATGATGGTTTCCCTGGAGACATATCTCATAGAGCCCTCCATCCTCCTCTTTCCATCTGGACGGGACGTCCTTGAGGCCTGCTGCTCAGCTGTCCTGGGACCTCCCTTCACCGTCATTGTGGGGAGTGCTTCACTTCTTTCACATGTGGGAGCTGATGTTACTCTTTATTTGGGGGGAGCACAGCCTCCAGTTGCTTCCTGAGGGGTAGTCTCGAGATACTACATATCTGAAAAGGTCTTAATTCATATTTAACTAAGTTTGGCTAGGTATAGAATTCTAGACTAGAAATAATTTTCTGACAGATTTTGAAGCTCCTCATTTTCTTCTGGCTTCAAAGGGTTGGTGTTGAAAAGTCTGATGAAAGTTGAATTCCTAAAACAGACTTTTTTCTTCATATCTCTGGAAGTTTTTAGGTTCTCTTCATCCTCAGTGTTTTGAAATTTATTGATGGCATAATCTGGGGTGAGTCTCCTTCATCCATTGTCCTGGACACTTGGCGATTCTTTCTCTTCTGGAAACTCATGTCGCTCATCTTTGGGAAATTGTCTTGGTAAAAAATGAACATATTTATTTGATATCTCTCCCTGCCACCCCAGTTTGTTGTCTCTTTTCCCTCTTTCAGAAAGATCTATGATTTAGCTGTTGGACCTCCCGCTCTCTTCTCTCTATTCTTTACCTTCTAAAATTTGATTGGATTTTTAATTTTTAATTCCTATTATAATATCATATTTGTTTTTGAAGAATTAGAGATTGTTGTTTGAACATTTCAATTTTAACGCCCATACTTGTTTTGTAAATGCAAAGTTTATCTTTCTAAAGCCATCAATTATTGTTTGTGTGAAGTTTTCCTTAAATCCTTGGTAGTCTTTAGGTGTCTTCGCAGCAGGCGTTGACAGTGGACTAGTACATAGCTGAGCCCTTAATATGTCACCTCAGCCCTCCTTCTCTCTCTCTTTCTCCTTGTCATGCAGCCCTTAGGGGAGACCTTAAGGCCAGTGTGGGGACTGATGGATAAATGCTACCCTGTGACCGCTCAGGTGGGTCAGGGCTGGGGACCCCTCTCCCCCTGGGGTAGGATGGCTGTTCTGGGCACCCTCGGTAGGCGCACACCATAAGAGGATGGGCCAGGCAGGGAAGGACTCCCAGACACTCACAGCTGAATGTCACTTCCCCTGTTTCCCTCTGCAGAGACGCAGAGTCAAGAGTGGGGAGAAGCAAGACTCTGAGGTAAGTGAGGCCTGCCCTGGAAGGGCCCGGGGCTGGGGCTGTCTCCTGTCAGAGCTCCCTGAGGCTCAGGGATGCCCCAGCTCATGGCCAGGGGTCCCAGGGAGAGTGGCAGGGCCCCTCTAGGAAACCTACAACCCTCCCACAGCGTGAGCTGAGAAGGGAGGGGCTTCCCTGGAAAAACGAAAAACTACACACACTCCAGGTGTGGAGAACAGGGAGAGGGGTTGGGGGATCAGGGGGCCTTTCTGCCCATATTCTGCGCTCTTGTCCCTCCCTGCAGGCCATGACCCCGAAGGCAACAGGAGGACCGAATGATGCTGCCCCCAAGGAGGAGGCTGATATCTTGTCTTCGGACGAGGAGGAGATGAGGTCCCCAGGAGAGGAAGCAGGCAGCCCCATTCCTTCCTCCATTCCTGCTGGGAAGGAGGTACCTGAGGAGGAGGAGGCGGCAGGGACCCCAGGCTGGGAGGTAAGGAAGCCTCAACTGGAACATCCCAGCATAGGTCCTACTGAGGAGCCCCAGGGCTCTGCAGGGTGGAGTGGAGAGGCCCTGGGGAAGGAGGGCAATGGGGGGCGGGGGCACCCCCAAGATGACTGAGCCATCTGCCAAACTGCCATCTCAGTCGAGCAACAGCTCTGTGAGGAGCTGAGAGGAGTAGACATGGCCTGAGCAGAGGAGATCTGAATCCTGGCCTTCCCTGACTCCTTGTGAAGTGAGGCCTGTTTCCCCATCTGCACAGTGCAGAGCCTGTCTCATCCCACCACTGTCCCCTTTCTTCCTTCCCAGGAAAATAAAAAGGTCCAAAAGGAGATTGCTGCATATACTTCTGGTAAGACAACTGGCCCCATCTGCTGTAGCAGGGCTGCTCTCCTCTCTAAGCTCGGTGACCCTGCAGAGGCCACAGACAGCCGAGCTCCTCCCTGACCCTCCTGCCCCAGGGAGGGGAGGGAAGAAACCCAGGTAGCCGGATGCCCTGTCTTTCCTGATGAGCACCCCCTGCCTCCTGCTTCCTTCTTGGGTTGGCAGGACTTGAGGCCACTGCGCTTGGGGTGGAGGAATGCCTAGCCTTATATCAACGCTGACCTGCTTCCCTGGCACCAGAGGGTACCCTGGCCCTGGGGAAAGGTTCCTCCCAGCAAGAAACCCACAGGGCATATCTGTTTGTGCTTTTTAGAGGCTTCTGAGGTGGACCTAATGGAGGAGAGGCCTGGGGGCTGGGTCCCCCAGCTCCTGAGGAAGCTCTGGCTGGGCTGGTCCCCAGCCTCTGACATCCCCAAGACTAAGAGCCACGAATGACAAAACATCCAATAAATCCAGAGTTGCCGCTTCTGCAGGCCTGGCTGCCTCCTTTCAGGGGCCTCAAGTTTCCACAAACTCAGTGTGGTTTCATCCACGCTCCCTGTTCCAATAAGCTGCAGGAACACCACCTCCTGCCACTAAGCCCACGACAGGGGATAAGCTGGAGACTGAACGGGGCCCTGGCTGGTCTTCTGACTCAGTGCCAAGGGAGAGGCCAAGTTCCCTGAATGCTAAGAGCTGTGGAGCTCACTGTCATGAAGGCAAAAGTGGCCTGGCTGGGGGCGGTGCTTCTGCCTTGAGTGTCTGTGGTCCCCAAGCTGTTAACCTAAATGCACCAGGAAGTCTGCTTATGACTCAGGTAAGCAGATAGTCATTAGAAGCCCTTGGGTGGTGCCTGTGCGTGCTTAGAGGCCAGAACAAACTGTCGGGGTGGTGGGCACAGGTAGACGGTGACAGTCCCCACCCTCAGCTAGGGCTCCAGGCTAATGAGGTCCCAGCTCCAGAGTCAGAGCAGGAAGACAGGCCCCAGCAGCCATCTGGTGCAAACTTCTCATTGGCTGAAGGGGAATAGAAGCCTGAGGTCACACAGTGTCGCAGCAGAGCGAGGACTAGAGCCAGGGTGTCCTCCTCCCAGCTCCCCACATGGCCTCCTTCTGCTCTGGCCACCCCATTGTCACATGGGTCCAAGGTTGACCCCTTCCCTAGGGCATGCCTGCGGCCCACAGGGACTCATTCCCGGCCCCTGCCAAGCCTCCTGAGCGCCCGGCCTGACCTGGCCACTCAGAGAACAGAGCCCGGGTTGGAGCCTAGATGAGTGTCCTCCCACTCGAGCGTGGCCGTGAGTGGCAACTACTATTGGGCAGGGGCTGGGAAATGAGCATCCCTAAGGGGCAGGGAAAGGGGGCCCATCCTATCTTGGGGTGACTGAGAGTCCCAGGGAGGTGGCGCACTCCTGGGCTGCCATCAGGCTTCCCAGGGAGAGCTCTGGCATCTGAAGACTGAGCTGTGGGTGCTAACCTGGCCTATTGCTTCCCAGCCATCCCTGAGTTCGCCAGCTTTGGGGGCAGCAGACTTGATGGTACTGGCTGAGCTGCTGGCCTGTGGTGCAAACTGAGGGTGGCTGGGCCTGAAATGTGGGCATCCAGGTTGAGTGGGGCCCTCCTCATCCCCACTGGGGCCTGAAATCTCTCACCAGCCTATTCTAGTTCCTTCCAGCAGAAGCCAGGACCTATTTATAGACTTTGTCACTAACCCAAGTAACCAGTATTGGGTCTCCAAGGGCGACTAGGGGGTAAGGTGTCACCTTCTGAGCCTCGGTATACCCATCTCTCAAATGGGGTCACATGCCAGGTAAGGATGGATCAGGCAGGGGTAGGGGCTGGATCTGGGGAGGCTGCTGAGGCCCCATGAGCGCCAAGGGGCCGGTCAGGGGCCCTAGGTGGGACTCAAGCCAGGTTGGAGCCACCAGACTGGTTTATTGTACATCAGGGCTACTGCTGAGGAGTGGGCTGGGGGCTTGGTGCCCACCTCTAGCAGGGCAGAGCACAGAGCTGGTAGGGGGATGGGGTCACCAGGAAGGCAAAGACACCGTGGCCACTGGGGCAGGGCTGCCCAGTGGGCACTGAGAAGCTCAAGTGCTGCAGGAGGCTGGTGAAGAAGAGGAAGCACTCCATGCGGGCGAGGGGCTCCCAAGGCACTAGCGGCGGCCTGTGGGCGGGCATGGGGGCTCTCTGAGCCTGGGGGCCTGGGCTCCTCCCCTTCAAGACTCCCTCAGGACAGGTAAGCAAACCGGGCACCCCACAGGTACCTGCTGAGAAGGGTATGAAGGCCTCCTGCTTGACGAAGCGGCCCTGGGCATCCAGGAAGTGCTCCGGGTGGAAGTGGGAGGGCTTCTTACAGATGGTCTCGTCCTTCAGCACTGATGACAGGTTGGTGATGAGTGTCGTCCCCTGGCAGGAAATATCTGTCATGGGTGGGGTCTGGACTGGGGGATGCCTGGACCCCTGCGACCAAACACACATGGGCACACACCCTCTGCCTGGCACACACCTGGACTCTTCAAGTAACCCTCAGCCCAAGAAGCTTCTCGGCACCCTCCCTGTCCCCATGGCAGGGTAAGTGACTTGCCTCCCATGGGTGCCCTTACTGCCACCTGTCCCTTGGTGAACGGGCTCCTCCAACACTCTGTGACACGCTTTAGTTTGTCTTCCCTACCCGACTACGGGCTCTGAATGGACAGGGCCAGCCCTGCCTCTGCTCTCATCCTCACACCCACCCAGCCTGGGACATTCAGTGCCTGTGGAAATGAGGATTGGGTGGCTTGGATTGCAGTCCTGACCCCACCTGGCAATGCCCACATTGGGGCTACCAGGTGGCAGATGGTGCCGAGCTGGGGTGAGGAGAGCCGCAGGCCTACCTTTGGGATGAGGGAGCCCTGAACTTCGATGTCACGGGATGTCATGTGGGGCAGGCCCAGTGCGATGATGTCCCCAAACCGCTGTACCTCATGGACCACGGCCATGGTGAAGGGTATGAGGGCCTGATCCCCCATCTCTGGTTGCCTCACCTGCCCTATCACCTCATCGACTTCCTGTTGGACATGTCCTGGAAAAACAAGCATCCTCATAGTGGTCAGACCCAAGGGCTGGGCCCTGACCTCCTCCTGACTCCTGTGTAGGGCTGTGCTCACTCGGAGGGGGAGGTCACTGTGACCTCTGCACAGAGCTGCTACTGGTGGCCAAACCCACCAAGCTCAGGGGCCTCAGGCTGTCCCTTTCCTCCCTCCCCCATCCCACCTGGCCCCTTGGGCTAGGCTCTCGCTGCACATCTGGGTGCAGGATCATGAGGAGGAGGGCCCAGGCCAGCATGGCCGAGGTGGTGATCACCCCAGCAGAGAAGAGGTCAGACACCACCAGGCGTGAAGCTGCTCTCGGGGTTCCCCTTGGCCTGGGCCACGCAGGGAAGGTAAGCGCAGGGACAGAGGGAGGAAGCCTCCAAATGGCCTTCCACTCTGCTCCTGTCAGCCCAGGTGTCTGGTCACGGGGTGATACACAGGCCTGCGCTTGCCTCACGGGGCCTTCAACCCTCAACCCACCTCACCTCCACCTCATCCAAGAAGGCGTCAGTCAGGTCTCGGGGTGGCTGGGCCCAGTCCCGGGTCACCCTGTGCTCGATGACCAGCTCATCAATCAGGACCATGAAGGCTCTCTGCCCCGGGAAGACCTTGGTAGCCAGCCCTGGGATACGCAGGAGCACGGGGATTGCTTCCAGCACCTGTGGGGGTCACAGCTTTGGGGCCCTGGGACCTTGTGGTGCTCAGGCTTTCACCTGGACCAGTCAGGTCCTAGCCTCCTCCAGGATGTCCCCACCATTGACCTTGTTCCTCCCTAAGTGCAGGCCTCGCCCCTAAATGCAGGCGTCGCCCCTCTCTCCTGGCCCTGGGCGCAGAAAGATAAACCTAATGTCCACATCTCATGGGTGCCGGTGCCTTCCAATGAAGGAACCCTTCCTCCCCTAAGCCCGCTGACCCTCACCCCGCCTCTCCCATCTGTGTTGTCTGTCATTTCCCCACTTCCAGGCCTTTTCCCTTGCAGGTTCCTCTCCCGGGATGCCCTTTCCTCCTCTGACCCTCTACGCAAATCCTCCTCCGGGGAGGCCCTTTGCAGGACGGAGGTCTCCTCTATGAAGCTCCCTTCCCTCACCTGGCGCACGAAGCCAACCTCCTCCTTCAGTCCACCCTCCAATATGTCCAACAGCTTGAGGATGCGAAGGTCGTTGTACTCAAAGCGGCTCCCGAAGGTCAAGGAGGCGATCACGTTGCTCACCGCTTTATTCAGGAGGCGTTGGGGCTAAAGGGGCGTCCTGGGAGGGAACGGTGCACGTCAGGGCGTCGCCTTCATTTCCTCTTCCCCAGCCTCTCCAAACCTGTTCCCTGTCCCTCAGCACCCACCGGCCTGATCGGCGAAGGCGGCACAGAGGCACGAGGCCTCCTCGGTCACCCACTGCTCCAACGACTTCTTGCCCAGGCCGAAGTTGCGCAGGGTGGACCAGGAGAAGCGCCGCTCCTCGCGCCAGGCTTTCCCTTAGAGCGCCAGGATCACTCCCGGGGCCGGAGCGGGCACGTGGGCGTGGCTCGGGTGTGTCCCGGCCCCACCTTCTGCTCGCCCACAGCGCTGGCGGGCTCGCCGATCCTCCTCGGCCCGCCCTTCCCGGTTCTCTGCTCACACAACCCCGCCCCCTTTGGGGCAGGCCTCGCCCCTCCGCTCCGCCCACACCAACCTCACCCTCCCGCCCACTTTGACTACCCCTTCCAGCTGGGGACCGGTCCCACTCTTTGCCCGCCCGCATTGCTCGCCTACTCTCCCCTGCTAGGGTCAGGTCTTGACTCCAATTTTTACTTTGCCCACCGGGACCCCCTTTCCTCTTCGGGGAAGGTCCTGGCCCGGCCCTACCCCGCCCGCTCTGACTTTGTCCTCATTCCTGCCCACCCTGACCTCCCCTTCGTGCCCGCGATGGCCCTGGGCCGCCCTCTCTCCGTAAGGCCCCGCCCCCTGCCTCGCCCGCATTCTTGCTCCCCGGACCCTTGGCACAGACTCCTTTCTCCTCTTGCTGCCCCTTCAAATTCGCTGGCTCTTCCCTGCACCGAATGTCCGCGACCCTGCCTCCCCTTGGCCCTGCCGGTATCGGGTCACTGCTGACCCAGTCCCCGCCGGGACGCGGTCTGCCCCCTCCTCCGCTTGCCTTCCGAGCGCGGCCCGTAACCCAGGTGCTCGTAAACTGTCGCAGGTGGGCGGTCGGAGTTGTCCTGGCTGCGGTACACCAGCGCCTCTCGCACAGGCGCCAGCCGGTTGAGCACGACGACGGGAGTCCAGACCTGCTGCAGGCTGAACACGTCCCGGAAGCGGCGCCGCAGCTGCAGGCCGAAGGTCGAGGGCGTTTGTCAAGCCCAGGCCCCAGCCTCATGGCGTGAGCCCTGCGGGAACCCTAGGCCCCTACCAGGAGCGAGGGGGTGCAAAGATTTTATCCAGTCTTGTGAGCCTGGGGGTTAATTACATCCACCACAGTCGAGGACCTCAAGTTGGATCAGACCACCCAGCTATGACTGTGCAGAGGTCACCAAAGTTGTCAGTAGACCAAGTTAGCATCCCATTTTACAGGTGAAGAAACAGATTCATAGAGGTAAGCGTGAGGTCCAAGGTCTCACGGTGGCAAAAGATTTGAACCAGATCACTGTACCTCTCTCAACCTCGACTACCTGATTTAAATAGGGCTCAAGACCAGACTCCTCTCCCCCATTCTCGAGACCTTTCCTCCTGATGTAATCATAAGGGACTCAGGCTCACGTAATGTAAGAGCTGGCCAGCTGAATCCCCAGCCTGTTGCCAAGTCGTACTCCCCCACCCCCTGGCCTTTACCCTCTTGGACCTCTGTTGGGAAAATCCAACTGTTCTCGGGCCCTGAACAAATGCCCTCCCTCAGGAAGCCTCTCAAATCTGCCTCCTCCTCTTGGCCCAGTTCCTTTTCCAGCCTGTGACTTCACCCACCACCCGCTGTCTCCTGCTAGGTGGGGTCCCTAGGACCTCCGCTGCCCACTTCCCACCCCCACCCTCCTTACCTGGCTAAAGCTGAGAAGTGGGTCCTGGAAGTTCACCTGCAGCAGGTTACCCAGCCCAGGCAGTGGCATAGGACCTGGTGGGTAGCATGCGGCCCAACGTGAGTGCTGGTGCATCTGGTCCACCAAGAGCAGGAAGACGGCCACGGCCACGGCCAGGGTCGCCAGTGTATCCCCAGTCAGCAGCATGGCTGCCTCAGTGTGCACTGGGCTCCTCAACACATCAGACACCTAGGACTAGCCCAGGCAGGGCACTCTCAACTGCACCTCCAGGGCTCAACCAGTCTGGGTCTTCTTTATGACAGGAGCTGAGACTGGCCTTTGCCCTCTGCCCTGAGCCAACCTGCCAGGGAGAGTGTGCTGCCAGAGGGTGCAGGGAGGGGTCGGGGAAAGTCAGGTGCACAGATGGCCACTGTGCCTCCTGCCCTCTCCACGTGCTTACAGAGGGTAGGGGGAGGACACAAGAAGTCCTCCCCTTCCCCTAGCCTGACTCCCCAGCTCTGTAAAGATTCCGAGGAAGAATCAGGGGTCTTCAGACTTGATCCTGCCACCCATCTGTCACTTTAGTCTCACACTCTCTAATGTGCTCACAGCCTCATCCCCAGAACATGTCCTTGTCCTCCCATGTATCACCTGCCTCCTCCTGAGTGGCCTTCACCTCCCAAGTTTGTTACTGGCCCTTGCCCAGCGCTGGAGGGAGGTCCTAATGACCAGAGGGACCACTGTAGGGGGATAAAGTTCTTGGTGTCCCCTCACTTCACACTAGTATACTCAACACACACACACAGTCACACACTCAAAAACCACACTTACACACATTCACATACTGCCTACTCACATGCATATGTACACACCCACAAAGCCAGACACATTAACACATATGTACCACTTACATGCTTGCACAGAGACCCAGCACCAAGTCCTCGGAGTTCTCAGTGGTTGCCTGGACCCAACCCACCTCCTCCCACCTCGAGGCTGCTCGCAGTGATGCTGGGGACCTTCACCTGGCTGGCTGCTGGCTCAGCTTCCTTGGTTTCTGCCCGTTTCCGCCTGGTTGTGGCCATGACAAGTTTGAATCTGAGGATGGGGAGGCAGCAGGATTGTCTTCAGAGCTCCCTAGTCACATGACCACCTGGTCTGATGGCCCAGAGACCCTTTCCTAAGTTTGTTACAAACTGGTCCTTGGACCTTCTAGCTCTTGTGGCCACCCAGGTGATGAATCAATCTTCTTTGTGTCTGTGCCCATTTCCTAACTTGGAGACATGTGAGGTGGGCACTTTACCTTGTTGACTGGACTGCCAGTAAGCTCAGGGTACTAGAGTGGCTTAGCATAGGCTGTGACTGTCCTCAGAGGAGTGGGCCTGCTTCCTCCTCCTTGATTTGTCCTTGAACATCAGCTGTTCAAACTCTAGAAGACAAAGGCATGGATACCAGATGGGGACGTAATTTCTTTACACCCTCACAGGCCTGCTGAGGACCACAAAGAATGGATTCTCAGGTCCCTTTGCCGGCCTCCTCCCTCTCCATGGGTCCAGTCCACCCTGGCTCCAGCCCCACACCTTCCAATCCTGACTCTCTGGTCCCCTTCAGTGGCTCCAGTCCTCGACGAAATGTGCAAACCTTGGTACCACCCTGCACCAGTGTGTGCCACCTCCAGGCTGGAATTGTGGCATTTCCTTGGTAGGGGTGAAGCCCCCTCACCCATCCCAGGGGTATATGAGGCAACCTCTCTTTCTGAAAACAGCTGTCCCCACTCCCATACCCCGACACCCCCATTCCCTCCCTCCCATCTCACTCCCCAGCGGGGGGAGGACCAGGTTCTTCTCAGGGTGCAGGACAACACAGAGTGCTGTGGCCTTCAGGTATTGGCTTTCAACATTTGCAATCCCTGCTTGGTCTGTGAAAGCTGCTCCTCCCCTTCCAAATTCCCACATCTCCACCCTCCTGCCAGGCCCAGGGCCTGAGGGTCTAGCTGGCTGGGGTCCGACTGGGCCTTCCTCAGTTTATCTGGCCTTTCCTGCATCTTGCCTTGACCAAGGCTTGGGTTCTGTCCCACCCTGTCTGGATGCACCCTGTGCTGGGTGCTGGGCTGGGCACGGCACTGGCAGCATGGCGGGAAGGTGACGGTGGGCCCCTGCTTCAAGGTGCTCATGACCAAGAGGAGTGGGAGCCAGAGAGCTAACCATCAGGCCAGCAGTGCAGGGATTGCGTTGAGGGTTGTGGGGACATTGCCCCAGGCTGGAGCACACTTTCCGGGAAAACTTCCCAGAGGACTTCGGCTGGCTTGGCTCTGCAAGCCAAGGTGACCTGGCAGCGGGACTAAAGCACCAATGCAAAACAGCAGGACGGGGGCAATTTAAGGCTGGGGCTTTGCAAGGTCCGGCAGAGGACTGGATTGTGGGAAACCGGGGTTCCTGGGCCTCAAAGAGGCGGGGAGACCAGTTTTGAGGCCACTCAAAAGACTGAGAGGGTAAGACCCATGGGCACCCTGGGGTCTTCTCAGATCCAGCCTGTGGTCTTTCATTGGGGCTCAGCCAGAGAATCAGGTGGTGTTAGTCGGGCTGGCAGGATGGTCTATCACAGGTTTGTCACAGTGGCCCTCGATAAATTGCATCTCCCTTTTGTTTTGGATGTGTCACGCCCTCCCAAAACAGTCACTCTAATGGACATACGAAGGGCAGTGACAGACATGCCTGTAATTCAGGCAGTGCCCTCCCATTACTGGGCGCCTATTGTCCAGGACAGGCCTTGAGGAAAACCTGTGATCGTGAGGCCAACGGCCTTTTTCAATCATTGTGCACACTCACATGCCGGACACTGCTGTTCACTCCCCATCCTCCCCACACCCTGTAAGGTAGGTGGCTTTATGGTCCCCAAGGCACTGGAGTCTCAGGGATCACGGGGTCAAAGTCACAGAGCACCATTATGGTCTATCTCAAAACTCATGCTCTCAGCCACTGCTCTACAGTGGACTTCTATGAGGGCCAGCATTTAAGTTACTGAAATTTATTATTTTAGAAACATACTCAGCCTGCCTTTGCTGGTTTCTGCTCTGGTGAAGCTTCTGGTGCTAGAGGGATGAGACCCCCCCATTCCCTCCCCTCCCCCAATCTCCGTGTCATACGTGTTCGCCCGCGCAGGGAAGGCCCAACTGGACACTGCAACCTGAGACTGAGTCCTGGGTGACGTCCGCAAGATGACGGACCAGAAATCGCCAGGCCCTGGGGCCCCCAAGCACGGAGACCCAGCCGTGGGACCCCAACGCGATGCGGAGCAAGCCCCTTGGAGAGAGCTCTAGAAAGCAAGTAGGGAGCTGCAGCGCCCAGAGAGGGCGCTGTAAAGTTGGTGGCATTTTGCTCGCTCCCCCCCCCCCCCCCCCCCCGCCACGGCAAGGCCAAGTCCGCGGAAGAAACCCCTCAATTCCCGCTCCTCCCGGGGGACAGAAGTGGGAGCTGGCATCTGACTCGCGGTACTGCCCTCCCGGGCCCCGCTGGGATCCAGGTGGAGGGCCGGCCCGGCAGCCGCCGGCGGGGGGGGGGGGGGGGGGGGGGGGGGGGGGGGGGCCCCGGGGGG